CTCTATCCATCTTTACTTATTGCTTGTATATTCGTATTTACTATTTGAATTAATCTATCTTGTTATTGCGTATTTGATCTTAAGTTAGTTTTTCGAAAAAGTTTTAAAAACTTTTTCGAAAAAGTTTTAAAAATCGCCAACATGTGCTTCATGGCAATCGATAATGATATAAAATCTATTGAAAAATTCTCATATAATAATTTATCTTCCTCCTATGATGAAATTTTAGAAGAATTTGAAAAACTCGTATTAGCCATTCTATTTTTTAAAAAAAACATAAATTATTAAAAAGTGAAATGAAGAAAATTTTGGAAACAAAAAAGGAAAATATTGATTACGGTTCATTTTACATTTACAAAAAAAAAAATTCTCTTTAAAAGAAAAATGTCGAAGACTTGACAAAAATTATTTTTAAATTCACTCGAGTAAAGAAGAATTTTGATTGAATGCTCGGTAATCAAAAATGTATTTTTTGATAAAGGGGGCATTGGATATAAAACATTCTTAAAATACAAACCTCTCAAAAATTTATTTGTCAAAACTTCAAATACAATTCGGTGATAAAACAGTTTTCCAGTCGGCCATGACCAACTGTTAATTTTTTTTTGCCTCACTCATTTTTTCTTCATTTTCTTTTCAATTTAAAATTATTTATAATTCTTATCTTTTCATGATAATATAAATATATTTTAAATTTTAATTAAATAATATTATATTTTTTATTAATTTAATTTTCATAATTTCCTTTTTAATTTTTTTTGTTTTTTTTTTAATTTTTTTGAAATATTTTTAAAATTTCTTAATTGTTTTGTTCATTTTATAAATAATATTTTTTATTTAAAATTATTTTTAATTCTTTTCTGTTTATGATAAAATTTAATTTGTTCAATTTTAATTAAATAATATTATATTCTTTATTTCATTTTCATAATTTCCTTTTGTTTAATTTGTTTTGTTTTATTTTATTTTATTTTGTTTTTATTATAATTTTTTTTGAAAATAGTTTTAAAATTTCTTAATTGTTTTCTTCATATTATAAATAATCTTTTTTCAATTTTGAAATTCTTTTTAATTCTTCATTTTATAATTTTATTTTTATTTGTCATTTAGTTCGCTTAATTTTTTTAGATTATACTTTATTCCATTATCTTTTGTTAAATGTTCTAATATTTGAATTTTTATATAATAAAGTACCATTTAGATGCGTAGTTGAAACAGATGGCGGGAAAATGTACTTGGAACAGTAGCTTTGATAGTTTCACTACTGTATTGGAGTTTTCTGAATGATCAACACGCAGATATCCTATATTAGTCTTTCATGTGGCCCCAGTATCCGTTAAGAGAGGTGTAGTGCTCTGAGCAGATCATTGATTCATTACTATGTCGGCTGCTTAGGCCAATCGACGACGATGCCCTCCACTTTTACCTCAAGGACAAGGTCGTTACTTTCTCCATATTTTGGTTTGTCCTCATGACTGAACTGAAAATTACAGAAGATGAGGTAGCTACCGATGGTACTCAAAGAAGCAACAGACTGCACGAGATGTATTTTCAAGGATGGGGATGGTGCTTCTACCGTAGTTGATTGGCGCAATCAAGAAGTACAACTAGATATTGGACAGATTGAAGTTAGGCCTTGATAGCGTGGTGATGTGTCATCACAAAAAGACTGCGATCGAAATTTTTCATTTGGAAGTTGTTGGCGACATTGATGCCTTCAACAACTATTCGTGGGGCCGAAGATATTTTGAGGAGAACATATATGTCTTTACCGGGTCACATTCGAAGCCCAAAGGGTCCATGCGTAAATACGATACTTATGGATTGCCCATGGCAGTGCAAGTAAATGTTTAACATAATCAACATTAAAATATTTTTTTTACTAAATTTATATATAATAATTATATGTGTTGCAGATTTGAGCATATTAGAATGTCCCCATTTTGGGTACCTGGTTTGCGAGGAAAGGGGGATGCATCATTGGTGTGCATCCCGAGCGGATTGATATCAATTTGGAAAATAGTTATCAGCCCTCCTCAATGACCCACACGTGAGTATTATACATTTGTGATTTATATTGTATGTCGTTTCAAAATTTCATCACATGATTATTAATTAGTTGAGCTATCAATATGTCAGCTTGAATTCCTAACAGAGTTGATATTGTCAACAGAGGAGGGGTGTCGATGTTTTGTGTATGAATTAGTCGTTCCACATACTCAATAAGACCAGATGTCCGATTCCATCCTAAACCAAGATTGAGTATGTGAATTGAATATAATTTATTGATTACCTAATTTATTGATTACCGTTTTATATGAGTTAACCTAATTTTTAATGTTGTTATTTGTGTAGGAGCGCGGTCCAATTGATCGACGATCACCTCCGCCGATGAGATCTCATTCTCCTCCATTCAGACACCTCCCTCGTGGATCTCATGTACACGGTTAGAGTTATTATTTCGATAATCTGTATGTCCGTCTGACTAGATTTATAGCGGAGAAGGTGAGTGCGTTATGACAAAAGATGAAAGATGAGGTGGGCGCGCTACTAGATAAGGTGGTCCAGTTTATTTAATTGTGAAATACTTATAAATATTGTATACTTGATTTTTTATATATTTGTGTAATAATTGTAAATATTGTAAAAAAAATGCAATTTTGTATATTTAGTTGTTTATTTTATTGTGAAATAACTATAACTGTTGTAAAAACATGTAAATATTGTTCAATTATCAGTGATACCATTATACATCCATCTAATTGTCATTCAGTGGAATTCGACTTATATAAAACTGACTAGTATGCCCTATTACTCTGCACTTACCGCATCTACGCGGTCGAAGAAAACTCTCAGATAGATGGTATCTAGACATACGTGGATGTCCGCACTACGCAGATCAACTTCGGGTGGCAACAAATTATTAAGTAAGTTAATATGGTCGGGAACTTCCCACCGACTTCATTCGATAGAAGAAATGTAGTTTTAGCATATGCTGCTATCCAATAATCGATGTGTAATAAGGAAAGTTTAAGGTTCTCGTTGCAAAGCCTCTATACATAGCCACCGCGACTGCATATTCATATGGAAAACTCTTCGACTGTTATCAGTCAAGTCCACCATGTATGCTATATAACGTGCATATTTCATGGAGAAGCTCAACTCTTCCGTGGTTCCACATCCAATTTTCTCACAACCTCTGCAGCTTTGAAGAGTTTATCCTTCTGAACCGGGGTTTATCATACTTGTACAATTTTATGATTCCACACTTCGATCGTGAAACCACAGTTGCAGTTTTGTATAAATGTTCTCAATTATTGCGATGATTAATAACTCTCGAAATGGATAAAGTCACACAAAGAGGAGTTGCGTGCATTTTGTTCAATTCAAATAGATAATTCACTTCAACATCAGTAGTAACCTTTATAGGTTGAATCAGAATGGATGAATGCTCTTTGAATTGAAATCTCAATTCTATATTGTACTAAGAGAGATTGACTCTCACTTGTTTTGTAAATCATAATACATTTTCGTATATGATGTACTCGATGTTACGGAAATTGGAATACCATCACATATATTACTCGCTCATTTCCAGTTCCATTTCCATACCCATCGATCTTTTTTATCCAATTCGAAATCACTAAAGTAACAAATTGAGATTACAATCATATCTGTACGACGAAACATAATTTTTAATTATAAAAATAAACAGACGAAAATTCGATTCAGCCACTGGACAATAGAATTTAAAAAAACGTCAACAGCAGCCTGTTTTAGCTTTTAACAACCGATTACGTAAGGCTGTTAACAACCGACTATTAAGATTAGTAGGAATCATTGTCATGAATATACATGGAGATGAATCTGTTTCTTATTTATGCTTTAAAAAAAATTTAGATCTGTTTAAAAAATTACTTACATGTTGATCTATGTCGAAATGAGATTTATCGATAAAAAAATGTATACCAATTTAACGAAAACGAAATTAAACATACATAAATATACTTATTGATTCGAAGTGATAGATGTAAAAAAATTTTGTTCAGCGTTTGATCAATTTTTCAGACGCTGAACGAACGCTGAAGGGAGAAGAGTTTGTATCTGTGTAGAAATAACTAGATAAGAACATGTAGCTGAATTTAAAATTGTAAGTGAGAAGTATTTAGTTTTTACTTGTTAAATGAAATGGTAATATTGTCTTTTAAATAAAATCATATTTTATAACCGTATTGTTTATTTAATGATATTTTTGTATTTTGTAAAAGGGTAAATAACACAAAACATCCATACCTTTTTTTTTTGGCATTTTTACATATACCTTCCACATTTCATTGCACAAAATGTCATTTTCAACCATTTTTCTAATAAAATGATGATTTTACCCTCCTATTCAAATGGAACAAAAAAATAAAAAAATAAACAACTAATTGCAATCATAATCCTAAATTTTTTTAACAAAATACAAATGAATTCAAAATTTATGAAAATATTAAAAAGGGTAAATAGCACAAAACGTTCCTTCCTTTCAATGTCATTGTACAAAACGTCCATACTTTTCATTTTTTTGGTATTTTCACCCCTACCTTCTACATTTCATTGCACAAAATCTCCTTTCTACCATTTTTCTAGATTTTACCCTCCAATTCAAATGAAACAAAAAAGAAAAAAAGAAAAAATAAACAACTAATTGCATTCATAGTCCTAATTTTTTTTTTAAAAAAATACAAATGAATCCAAAATTTATGAAAATATTAAAAATAACAAAAAGAACTCTTTCTCTCTTCTTCTCCTCATCCACCGCCGCGCAACAACCCACTCAAAAGGCGAAAAAAAAAATTTATTTTCTGCAAGGCTCCTTGGATGAGGGAGTATGAGGATGCAGGCAATCTATGAAGTTTCCTCTCGTAGGGGGAGAGTCTAAAATAACTTTTACCCACTTTTCGCTCACCTCCCTTCTCCCATTCATAAACCTTCCTAAATTCTCCTAACGTGTTGTCCTATTTTGTACCGACAGTCTTGGCATCCCTATTCACCCCATGCCTATTCAAAAATTCTGCAACTTTTTTATCTTTATCAGCTCGTGTTTTCCCCCTTCCCGTCGCCGCTGCCACGTCACCTACAGAGGCTGCAGCACCCTCTATTGAAGGGATCGAATCTTCGGATCCACCTTGATACTGAACCCTCCAAGCCCTCGCCAACCACATCATTTCATTAGGTTTCCAAACTGGGCTAACATACTTGCCCTTTCTGAACTGTTGGCGAAATACTTGTTCATCCCGAGGCTTGCTGGTTTCTTGGCCGGAGGCGGCAAACTGATGAGGAGAATGAGAAGGAGATGATGTCGTGTCTGATGATGAAGCAGTCATGTTCTGAGGCTGAAGTGGTGGTCGATTTGCGGAGGCGACGACATTTGTGGGTCCTAAAGGAAAAAAGGGCTTTTGCTGAGATGGAGATGGCAATAATTTCCATTGCCCTATTGTGTATCTTGGTCTCTTCGGATTGAAAGCTTCAAATTGCTAATGTTGTTCAAGTGAAACCAGAGTTCCACCACTTGGATGTACGAAGGCAGAGGAATAAACGAAGCTCCACCAGAAACCACTATTCCCAATGGTTGCTGGTGACTTTGTGGCGGCGGTGGGATGGTTTTTGTTGATTCTTAATTTGGGACATTCGGAGAAGTAGATAAATGCTGTTGTTTCTTGGTAGTTTCTCCTTTATTGTCATCCATTTTGTTGGTTGCTTCCCAATCATAAAGAAAAATTTCTTTTCGTCTTTTGGGTGGGTTCTTGCTCCGTGGCGGCGACGGGGGTAGAGGAGGCGGAGGAGAAGAGAGAGAGTTTTTTTTATTTATTTTATTTTTAATATTTTCATAAATTTTGGATTCATTTGTATTTATTTAAAAATTTTAGGATTATGATTGCAATTAATTATTTATTTTTTCTTTATTTTTTGTTGCATTTGAATAGGGGGTAAAATTGTCATTTTATTAGAAAAATGGTTGAAAAGGACTTTTTGTGCAATGAAATTTGGAAAGTAGGAGTGAAAATGACAAAAAAGAAAGGTAGGGACGTTTTGTACAATGATATTGAAAGGTAGACGTATTGTGCTATTTACCTTTGTAAAAATATGCCACTGTTAAAAATTTAAATTGAAAATTAAGAATTTACCAAGCCAATACTGTAGAATTTACTTCAGTTTAGTGTTGCCGATAAAAATGTCGTCATCGTCGATAATAGGATCGCAGGGCGCCGGCGTGGGGGGCAAACTGACTCCGCACCTGGATGAGCAAGTAACCAAAACGCTCAACCTCACTGTTTTGCAGAGAACGGACCCATTCATCAATGAGATTCTCATGACCGCCGCTCACGTCACCTTCTACGAGTTCAACGTCGATGCTTCCCAATGGGTATCCCCTTTTATCATCTTCTTCATTGTTACTGTTACTAATCGAACTCGCTTGACGGCGTGATATTGAATATTTCTTTTATGAGTGAAGTGTTATTTAAATTTTTTTCCCGATTGGGCGTTGAAAAAGATGAGTCGTGAATAAAGTAAATTCAGATGTAATCTGTTTTAGAAGTATCAAGACTGTCCACTTGTAATTTCTCCGGATCGTTGAATTAGTTTCTCATTTTCCGTGCAAATTTACTTGCAGAGCCGCAAGGATGTTGAAGGGCCTCTCTTTGTAGTCAAGAGGTAGTCAATTTTTATGTGTCTCAGTAATATTTTTCCTACTCTAGAGTACTTAAATAGGTTTTAAGATTTAACTTGCCACAGATTTTTGTGGAAGTTGAAGTGACATGAAATACCATAGTAACCGAAAATGTAAAAACCCTAGGCAAATTTACTTTATGGGAATTACACCTGAGTTTGCAGTGTTTTTTAACTGTGTTTTATGGTGCAATTCTTCTCGTCTCTTGGTACCAGGAATGAGTTACATTTCCAAGACTTCTTTCACAGTTTGTCCTTTTTTGGTTCCGTAGGATCTGTTTTACAAATTTTTGTTCATGGTATCATTTTAGGAACACCCAGCCGCGGTTCCAATTCGTTGTTATGAATAGGCTGAATGAAGGTTTGAATCTTTTTATTCTATTGATTTATGTTGATACATTTGTTATTCTGCTCCAATTTATTTGGTTGATGAATGTTTGTATATATGTGGTAAAGAGTACTATATACTAATTTTGATGAGCTCTAAGTAAATATGTTCTATAACCACTGTAGAATCAAGACCATTATAGTCTAGTAATTATGCATTTTATGGTCATTGACATTATAGCTATTTCAAGGTAAATAAGAAAAATCACATGTGAAGAACTGATGCTAAAAACTAAGTTTAAACATGAATATATGTTGTATATGTTGATCATAGTTATTTGCAGGTAGAGATAAAAACACAATTTAGCTCTATGATTAATCTGTGCTTTGTGCTTTCATGCAAAAATTTCGAGTTTGTTTGTACTGCATCCTTTGATACTCAATTTGAGGCCGTAGTCCCAAATAGATTGGTAGTTGCACTTCATCTGTTTGTGTTCTGAAAGTTTGTTTGTTTGCAGCTTATTAAGGATCAAAGAAATTTTGAAAGCTAAGTTTAATTTATTTTTTATGATTTTGAATAATAATATTGTTAGTTGAATGCCTAAATGATATACCTATCTATTTTAATGACATTTTGCTTATTGAGGAATAATTTACATCCAAAATGTGTTAGCAAGGTAATGATATTCAATTCACAGGGCTGGATTCAAATGCTGCTCTCTGGGAGCTAATTCTCTGTTGTGACTTGTTCCTATGTTTGCAAACTATGTCTTTACATAATCTTTGTAACAACAGAAAATCTTGTGGAGAATCTCTTGCAAAATTTCGAGTTTGAAGTCCAACTTCCATATCTATTATATCGCAATGCTGCACAAGAAGTCAATGGTATTTGGTTCTACAATTCATGTGAATGTGAGGAAGTTGCAAATCTCTTTACTAGGTACAAAAAATTGTCTCATCTTGTATTTTAGACCATTATAGTTTACTTGTGCATTGTTTGTGCTCAATAATATTAATAAAATTACCACTATTAGCTGCTACTGATTTCTCCATTTGGTTTTAGAAACAGAGTTAACTTCATATTTCTAGGATTATATGTAAACAGTGCGTTGCCCCAGGTCTGTGGATCCTCTTTAGAGAAGCTGTTATCAAAGAATTGATAAATGAATAATTTCTGCATATTGATTACAACAGTCTAGCTAATTTAGCCTACACATTAGGAACTAATTTTATTGACTTAAATCACTTCCTAAAATATAGCTAATTTAGGTAATTTCATAAATTACACTATTAACACTCCTCCTCAAACTAAACATAGATATCTATCATGTGAAGCAAATGACTTTGTCTTACAAAGAGTAAAAAGAATTCACGGAATCACTACATATCATCAATCCGATCCTTTGACTTTGAGGATGTAAATGGTGTACAAATTTTTGTTACTATTGACAACAATTCTCACAAAATGACAATCAACTTCAATATGCTTTGTCTCCCGTGGAATACGGGAATTACCTGCAATATGAATCGTGGCTTGATTATCACCTATGTAGCACGAACACTTCAACTAAGGTAGCATGTGTTGGATATGTGTCGATATTGATACTCCTCGAACACTCTACCATAAACATTTTTCTTTTTTATTAAAAATATTATATATTTTTAACTTAAAGTTATTTGTAAATAATAAATAAGTACTCACATTTAAAAGATTTTAAGACGAAAAATTAATAACAAGTATAAAACTAAATTTATACTATATAAATGAAGAATTTCAAAAAATTTAATCAACATGTCGGCGATGAGTCGAGTCAGTACTTTTTTGAAAAATTTTGTGTCGTCATACCTGACAAGTATTGTGTCGGACACACGTGTCCGTATAGGTGACATAGGAATAGGTTCCACGTATGTAATAACGAAATTTTCTAGAAGTGCTTTCAACCAAATCAACTTACATGTAGTATGAGTCATGGCACAGGTATTCGGCTTTAGCACTAGACTTAGACACAACCGTGTGCTTCTTGCGCTTCCAAGTCACCAAATTACCTCCTACGAAAGTGCAATAACCCGATGTAGATTTCCTACCAACTTTGTCACCAGCATAATTGGCATCTGAAAAACCAACTAAATCTATATGTTTATTTTTTCAAACCACAATCCTTTTCCCAGAGATTTTTTAACATATCTCAAAATATTACGAGCAGCTTCCCAATGATATTTCTTAGGTTTTTCCATAATTTGGCTTACTAGCCCCACGTCATGCAAAATATGTGATCTCGTTACTGTTAGATAAATAAGCTTCCCAACAAGCCTTCTGCACTGTGTGCTATCCTCAAAGTCTACATCCTCCTTCCACATGTCTAGGTTAGGTTCCATAGGGACATCTGCTGATTTTGCCCCTTTTTTAAGAGATTTGTGGCATACTTTCTTTGAGATAACATTACACCTTGTTTACCACGAGGAACTTCAATACCAAGAAGATAGCTCAATTGGCCGAGATCTTTTGTAACAAATTGTTGTCGCAAGTATTTTTTGGTTTCCTCAATGCCAGTCATATCACTACTTGATAACAAAATATCATCAACATATATAATGAGTATCACAACGCCAAATGAACTATGCTTCACAAAGACAGAATGATAAGCCTGACTTCGTCTAAATCCTGTAGCAAGAATTACATGGCTAAATTTATCAAACCAAGCTCGAGGACTCCGATTCTAACCATAAATAGCCTTTTTTAGTTTACACACCAGATGACTCTCCCGTCATCGACCAAATCCTTATAAAGAAATGCATTTTTCATATCTAATTGATACAACGGCCAATCTCAATTTACTGTCACATATATAAGTACACGCACAGAGCTAAGCCGAGCAACAGGAGAAAAAGTCTCAAAACAGTCTATACCCAGTATTTGTATCTTTTTTTACTTATCAAAAAAAAGTATTTGTATCTTTTAGCACCCAATCATGCTTATACCTCTCAATAGAACCATTTGGTCGATATTTGAGTGTGAAAACCCATCTACATTCAACCGGACGAACCCCCTCAGGTAATGGTACTAAGTCCCACGTGCTTTTAGTAAGAAGTGCTGACATCTCCTCTTCCATAGCCTTTGTCCAATCAAGAATGTGGAAAGCCTCTTAGTAATTCCTAAGAATAGATATAGATGATCGAGACAGTGCAAAAAGACGAAAAAATTGACCAAGGTTATCAAAAGAGATAGAATTAGCAATGGGATGTTTAGTGCAAGAACGCTTCCCTTTGCGAAGAGCAATTGGCAAATAATTAGAATTACCATCGAAATTTAGTGGAGTTGGAGACGACTTTTGAGGTGGAGGGATTTTCATAGTATTGCGCCTAGTGTAAACTTGTAAGGGTTAGAAGGTGGTATAGAAGTATACACAGGAGTAGGAAGAGGAATAGATTTTGTGGAAGTCGAGACCTTGAAAAAAGATTCAGACTCAAAGAAGGTAACATCTGTAGAAACAATCCTCTTTTTAGTTGTAGGATCATAACACCGATACCCTTATTGAGTTCGAGAATATCCTAAGAAAACATAACGAATAGCTCTAGAAGAGAACTTATCCATACCAATCGCAAAAAAGTGAACAAAGCACAGACACCTAAAAATACGAGGAGTTAGTGAAAATAAAGAATTGGTGAAAAGACATTTAAAAGGAATTTATCCTCCAAGAGCAGATGAGGGCATCCTTTTAATAAGAAAACCTGCAGTGAGTATAGCATCACCCCCAAAAAGATTTAGGTACATGCATTTGAAGTATAATAGTGTGTGCAACCTCAAGAAGATGTCGATTTTTACGTGCTGCCTCACTATTCTGTTGTGGGGGTGTAAGCACATGAAGTTTGATGAATACTACGATTAGAACAAAAATTTGAGAAATTAGATCTCAATTATTCTAAAGCATTTTCAGATCTTTAACACACGAATATTAGAAGAAGATTGAGTCTTTATTTCACTATGAAAGATTTGAAATATATCAAGAACAGACGACCTATCTTTTAACAAATAAAGCCAAGTCATTTTGGAATGGTCATCCACAAAGGTAATAAAATATCTATCACTTGACATAGTAGAATAATGACAAGGACCCCGTATTCATTTTTCTTAAGTGCCTTAGTGAGCATATCATCAATCCGATCCTTTGACTTTGAGGATGTAAATGGTGTACAAATTTTTGTTACTAGTGACAACAATTCTCACAAAATGACAATCAACTTCAATATGCTTTGTCTCCCGTGGAATACGGGAATTACCTGCAATATGAATCGTGGCTTGATTATCAAATATTCTAAAGCATTTTCACTATGAAAGATCTCAAATATTCTAAAGCATTTTCAGATCTTTAACACACGAATATTAGAAGAAGATTGAGTCTTTATTTCACTATGAAAGATTTGAAATATACCAAGAACAGACGACCTATCTTTTAACAAATAAAGCCAAGTCATTCTGGAATGGTCATCCACAAAGGTAATAAAATATCTATCACTTGACATGGTAGAATAATGACAAGGACCCCGTACATCGGAATGGACTAAATCAAAAGGATGCATACTTCAACCCTCTCTAGAAGGAAAAGACGTTCTATGATGCTTACCTAATTCACATGCGCCATAGTTTATTTCAGAAACAAACTCAAGAAAAGAGACAATTTTTTTTAACCTAGAAAGAGGTAGATGACCCAGTCGAAAGGAGACAAACCCCCAGCAACAACGGCTTTAGATGTAGAATCATGAGTAAGATAGTAAACTCTCCCTCCCTCAGAGTCGAGTCCAATCATTGTATTCGCTTGGAGACCCTAAAAGATACAATAAGTTGGAAAGAAAGTTACAGAACAATTTAAGGATTTTGTAAGTTGATTAACAGAGATGAGGTTAAATGATAATTTTGGAACATGAAGGATGTGATCAAGTGCAAAAGAAGAAGTGTAAACAGTACCAAAATCAGACACATGAGAAAAGGAACCATCAGCAATAGTGATAGGAGAAAGAGACCGACAAAGTGTAAAATTAGAGAATTGATGGGAATTACAAGTCATGTGATTAGATGCGCCTGAATCAATTAACCATGAATTATCAGACGAGGCTGCAAATGCATCAGTATCTGATGGAATGACATTGGAGGCAACATGATTGGGTTGAGAGTGACGTAATCTATTATACTCCTCTTTGGAGATTTGAATAACATCTACTGGAATTGTTGTAGAGGAACTAGATTCATCTAAAGAATGAGTAACAATTGTAGCTTTAGGCCCTTTGAATGATTTAAGTTTAGCACCTTTGATAGCCCAATCAGGCTTGCCATGCTTATCCCAACATCGATCCACAGTTTGCCCTTCTTCACCACAAAACTCACATAACTTATTACGACGTTTTGCTTTACCAAGTTCATAACCATGACTATGTGCAACCACGACAGAATTACCCCTGAAGAGGATAAGGTCAGAGGCATATTGTAGACGAGTGAAAGCAGATTAAACCCGCTCTGATACCATGTTATCAAAGAATTGATAAATGAATAATTTCTGCATATTGATTACAAAAGTCTAGCTGATGCACACACACACACACACACACATATAAGGTAAATAACTATGCACGAAATAAACAATAATTAGCCAACACATTAGGAACTAATTTTTTGACTTAATCACTTCATAAAATATAGCTAATTTAGGTAATTTTATAAATTACACTATTAACAGAAGCTAACACCAAAACTATTTTCCCTCTACAAAAGAAAAACCTCGAAGAACTGAACAAATTATTTAGGAAACTGATAAAAAATTATTATGAAGGGTCTCAGTACCGCAAACTCGATTTTCTGGAGACAGAAACATGTTGATATAGCGTGAGGTGTGGGTTTTCGGATATTGTGGATTCGGAGGTACCTATTACTGATCATCTTCCTAACTGAATGTATTTTAACTAACTGAATGTATTTTAACTTTGTTTACTTAGATCTTTGAGTAAAATAACAATGTCAGCAGCAGTCGCAAAGTATGATTTTGATCATAGAACCTAGATACCAAAGAAAGGGTTCATCTATCAGGTTGAGATAATAAAAGAATGACTTTTCCAACATGGCTTTTCCATGAAGCAGAATTTCTGATAGTGTATTATTAAGTCAACTGCACATGCTATGAATGTCCCTGTACACATGTATATGTTTTTCTATACTATTGTAGCGATTCTAATTTCATTCTTGAAAGTTATCGCATTAGGTAGGCTTAAGCAAATATTAGAAACACTGGAGGCTGCACACAGCTTGTTTGCTTTATGGCTCAGAACCTAATTTTACTTAAAACCAAATTAAATGGTTAGCTCATACTTTAGGATGCACATCCATGGCTAGAAAATCAATTAGATATGGCATAACTGCTAATAGGTACAAATTGGAAATATGCACTCAAGCTGAAAAATAATTATTTCTTTTTTTGGGAAAAGTTGGAAAGTGGAGGAAAATGACAAGCACTAGGATCCTGGGGGGAGCCAGAGCCATCAACGAGATATCACTCTAGCGAGACACTCTCTGGAAGAGTTAGTATGTCTTAAGAACGCTGATTTTAAGAGTAACTAATTGCCCTTTTGTGATCTTTACTGTCCAAACTGAGAACATACAACTAATGCGTCTTTCTATCAAAGCACCACGTCCTAAGCAATATATGACCAATGTACACTTCACAATTTTCCTTCCCAAGTATCACTGGTATGTCTAATAAGGACAAGTTATTGAGAAGATGACTTTTGATTACTTTATTCCATTTCGGTGCCTTGTATGCAAGACCTGTTGATATTTTTCACCCTGCAATCTGTAGACATTCTTCAGATGAATAGCTTACGTGGTATTGACAACTTGTATGGCTTAACCTTTTCTACAGGATACTGAGTCCTTATTCAAGGTTTCCTTCAAAGCCACAAGTATCCTCAAGTAAAAGGTATCTAGAAACTATCTTGAAGAATTTCTCTGTTTCTGTGCACAACGCCGAGCTTTATTTGTAAATCTCTGCCTGAAAATTCTTGCCTAACGATTGAATCACATTAAATTTCTTAACAATTCCTCAGTTTCATGACGTGGAAAGCTGACCGTTCTCAATTCTCATCCTTACCATTAGCTTCTATAACTTTACTCCATCAATTTAAACATGCATGTGCTGGACTGACTTGGCATGGTAGTTCCAGGTTATTCTGTAATACCTTATGGTTTAAGACATGCATCCTTTCTATACTTAGATAGAAGGGTATAAGAAAGAAGCTGACATCCTCCTCTTTCCACCACCTCTATGGTGCTTTATTGTCACTGTCTCTTTCCTGAAAATTCTTCTCCTACCTTTCTCCAACAACTGTAACAATTCTTAATTGTAGATGAATTAATATGATAAACACAAAAAAACGTACAACTATTGCTGTATAAAAGATATGATGTTGAAAAAGCGTCAAATCAGCATCGGATGGTGGCCACTGAGTGCTACATAGCTGATTTGAAGTCTTAAATATGAACAGAATGGGGCAAAAATTGTATGCTCTGATTACCATCTCAAACTTGACTAGGCAGTTATTTCTGCAGTACATGCTGTCATTCATGGCATACATAATTTTTGGCAATGATTGGTATGGGTATTACTTCTGATTTCATTTCAATGCATTCTTCCAATTCTCACTTTTTTCTTTTTGTATTCTTCTTTGCAGTGAGTTTGAGGAACTTGAAGCAGTCCCTACCAGTTCAGTGATTGAAGGGCCACTAGAACCATCATACATTGCTTCTGCAGATCTACACCACGACTCCTCCTTTGTGAACTTCTTTAGTGTGAGTAACTAATTTCTGTCTTTAATTCGTTTACTTTCTGAGGACAACAATTCCAGAGTTATGTATTATATCTTGAGAATTTGTGCACTATATGCATCTTTGATGTGTCAGTCCTCGTTAGATGGGCCTCAATGATGTCTTTATGTGGCACTAAATATTTGTGTAACTCTTAATTCTTTGCAGAGTGCTATGCATATTGGAAATGAGTCTTCAAAAGTCAAAAATCCTTCTCTCAACAATCCTCCTGTAGTTCCTCTATCCTCCAATGTTCTTGGTGTTGGCCCTTCCACTCCAACTTTGCTAGCTACATCACTTACAGTAGCAGCTCCATCAACTGCTCCAGTGTCGTCCCTTCATGCTGCTAGTGAACAAAGCAAAAGTGGTAACTGGGTTGTCAATCTAGTCAAGCCATCATCTTTCTTCTCGCCCACTTCAACTTCTACCTCATCTGTTCCAACTTCTGCTATTCATCTTCCCGCAAATATGCAACGGCCACATGGTTCTTCAATGCTTCAACCTTTCCGACCTCCTACACCACCGGCATCTCTTACCCCCGATTCCGTTTCTGTTCCAAATTATGGACCTGTAAGCAGGGAAAGAGTTCGGGATGCGCTTTTGATGCTAGCTCAGGTATCCTTAGTCATCTCTTTGTGTACTTGTTTAGATTTTTGAAGGTGTATTTAATTTTTATCCTGACATAGTTGAACAAATAAATAGATGTTTAGTTTGCGCAGACGTATTTCTTTCAGCTTGCAGTATATTCCCCATAATTTGTTTTTATTAAAGCCATATTTGTAAGAGAACCTCTGGTTCATAGAGTCTTGGTATAAAAAACTTACAGTTTCTACCTGATGTTTGGATGTTATTTTACAAAAGCATGTTGTGGTTCTGATCGTCGCCAAATAGGCTGAATGGATTTATTTTGGACCAAGGAAAATGTCATAGTTATGTAGTTGAAAATATGAGAAAGTTGCTTATTATAGTATTGACTGGTATTGATCCCTTCATCCATATCTTAAAAGAAAGTGTCACTTTTCTATCTTTTGCTTGCGGAGGCAGCTTTGCTTCCTTATTTTACTTGAGGTTCGCATCAGTTTGCAGATATAGAATGAGAGTTATGCATATAATCACCTAAATGAAATGCAAATGGTATAAAGTTTCTTCTTTTCTAGAATTCCGTTGGGTTGAATTATATCTGTTATGTGAAGCAATGAGAGATAATACTGAGAAAATCTAATCTACTTTTACTGATGACTAAATCAAATGCTAATGCTATACTTGATGGGAATGTTACATATTTGTATACTCTTGTATTTGCCGTGTGGCAGGACAATCAATTCATCGACATGTTTTACAAAGCGTTGCTGAAAGTGCATGAACGGTGTTGGTGATAGCTTTAACAGTGATGACACCATTGTAAATATAAAATTTCACAGAAGGACAAATTTGTACGTATCTGTGGCATTGTTTACATGAAATGTCGGGAGTTAGCAGTTTCATCTTCCTATTTAGACGTCTCCGCCATTTTGACTTCTGTGCTGTGATGAAATTACACACCTCGGATTGAATTTTTCTAGTTGATTGTTAATTCAGGTGGGGTCGACATGTCTTGGAATTAGCATTGATTGGAAAGAGAGCTGTATATCGAATTTTATTTCATCTTTTAGGGTAAACCATGTTGAATATCTACACTGTAATCTAGTGTGCTTAGCAGTTCTATATTGCAAATTCCTTTTTGCATCTGTATGAAACTGTGATTTTGACAATTCAAGCATTCTCAAATGATGTTGAACTTGTAGGTGAAAGAATAACTGCGTATGCATGTAATTTTTCTATGTTGCTTATTGTTCCTACTTCCTTTAGAGGTTCAGTAAGTTTGTCGCATTATACCACTTTATTCTGAGATACTTCTCTTGTTTGCTTGGTCGAACAAGAGGAAAAGTGTGTGAATGCATGTCAGAAGCGACAAACTTGCCCAGGTACTGGGATAAATGTATCTTATCATTAAAGCAAAGGTCTTCGACTTACAAATGTAGCGATGTTTGGCATTTTTAGGGTTTAAATAGAGCCTTAAATGCTGTTCTTGTCAAACGCAAAAATGCTTGGCACAGCGGCACAGCCTGCACGGCTGCACCTGATCTCCCATTGTTCTAGAAAAAAAGACTTGCATGAAGCATTGGGCTTTGTTAGGGCCAGTCTTGAGATTTTATGGGTTATACCAACTTCAAATATGGGGCTCTAGCGTTTTGTCAGTCAATGTGTTGAAATAAGGAAAAATTACATAATTCCAGGCATTTGAAGATAACAATTCAAAATTCAGGATTGAAGTTTCATTATTCACAAATCAGGTACCAATATAATACAAACCCTAACATTTTTCATCTCACTCTTCTCTCTCTACCCTCTCCTTCGCTCTCTGTATTCTCTCGTCTCTCGCACCATCGGTTCCATCGCCACCGTCGGCGGCGTTCATGACGACGACGACTCTCTGAAACAACCTCACCGACGACGATTCTGTTTATCTTTTCGCTCTCTACTCCTCTGAAGCAACCTCACTCGTTGGCTCCATCGCTCTTCGATCTCCATTTGGGTTCTTCGATCTCCTAGTCGGTAACGTTCACTCACTCAGGCGACAAATGATTTTTGCAATCCGACAACGCAGTATCGTGACTCTGCTGCAAACGCAATTTCGAGATGTTGCAGTCCTTCGACGCCGTCGGTGCGGGGTGGGGAGGGGGTTTGAGGTTTTTTTCTTTATCTTTCCAATCTGAGGAGGTTGTGGTGAATCGTTGATGTGGCGGTGGTATCGTGCAGTTTGGTGGCGGCGGCGATTGGAGTTTTTTGGTAGAACTCGTGGTTGTGGTCACAAGAAGAGGTGGTGGTGATGTTGGTTGCGGTGGCGGACTTGATGTTTTAGCAGGTGGCGGTGGCTATGGTGTGGTAGTGTTGAGAGAGATGGTAGATTTTGGCAGGCGGTAGTGGCGTTGTGGTTGATTGAAGGTGGTGGTGAGTGGTTGTTGGAGCAGGATGCAGCGGTGATGTATGTGGTGGTGGAGCTGCTGGCGGTGATGGTGGCGGCGATGGTGGATCTGGCTGCAATTTTTATGTGGTGGTGCAGGCGTCGTGTTGACGGTGGTGGTTGTGTTGTATCGTGGTGATAGTGGTGGTTGTATTGCGTCGTGGTGACAGTGGTGTTGCTTCGTGGTGGTGATGTGGTGTTGGTGCTGTCATGGTGGTGGTGGATTTCGCAGCAGCGAAGACGAGTGGAGGCGGTGGCGGTAGTGTTGAGGACGGTGGTGTGTGACCACTATTTGGTGTGTGTGACCAATTACCTGGTTACATGTGACCAAGTATTAACCTGTGACGCAAAAATTTGGTAACCTGTGACTTGAAAAATAATTTGTGACCTACAAATCTGGAAACCTGTGACCAATAGATAAATCGTGACCTGCAATTTTTTTTATTTGTGACCAATAAAATAAACTGTGACCTATAATTTGAAAATCTGTGACCACTTAATTTGGAAATATGTGATTGTGTGACCAATAAACTTTGATCTGTGACCAACTAATTAATGTGACCTATAAAATTTTTGAACTGTGACCTTAAATTGTAAATTTGTGACCAAAATAATCACCGGAATAGTCGTCGGAATAATTACCGGAATCGGAGCAGTCGCCGGAACGGTTGCCGGAGAAGAGTGGTGGTCGGAATGATCGTCGGAATAGTCCCCGTAG